TCGTATCGAGTGTCAAATGATGGACGGGTACTTAAAGACATCCTTCGGCTCAAATCACCGCCATACCAATTGTTAAGGGTACCATCTTAACAATCAGAGGCATTGCAACTCAAGTACCAAAAGTTCTATAAGTACAAAACTTATGCTCATGGTTTTTCAAATTCATTTTCAAAAAGAAATTTTGAAGCTTCATTATGATGTTTACGGACTAATGCTCTGATACCATTTAAATTGTCACGCCCCGGACCTACCTGGACACGTCAACAACCCGCCGTACAGTACGAATAGTCAACCGCAGTCCGACTCATCCATACTATACAAGGCGTCTTGAATACCATTCACACATAGTACATCCATAAACAAACATAATGTAAAACATTTATTAAAACAGCGGAAACAATTGATACAAGTGTTCAAGCCACACTTGGCATAATTAGGCATGCAAGCCCCCAAAGTAATTATTCAGAAAATATTATCCATGAGCATTATTCATATTGTTTTTCAAACCAGAACGGGAGAAGCACGAACCAAGTCTTCTCCTCGGAAACTTCCCGAAGCAGCGGCTGGTGGTAGCAACCTTCAAGTTCTACCTGAAACTGTGAGGTGGCCTCCCCCGTGAAGGGGAGGTCAGTACTTGGAAGCATTTGACAAGTACAATGACAACTATACTAAGTATAATCAAAGTTTAAATCTCTGAGGCCCTCAACTAGGGCATTATTACATTATAGTTAATCCGTTCATTTAATATTAATTCATCATTTTTTTATCACGGTCTAGAGCCCAGCTCATAATCACCGTTGTCTACTACGGTCTAGAGCCCAGCTCATAACCACCGTCATCTACTACGGTCTAGAGCCCAGCTCATAATCACCGTCATCTACTACGGTCTAGAGCCCAGCTCATAATCACCGTCATCTACTACGGTCTAGAGCCCAGCTCATAATCACCGTCATCTACTACGGTCTAGAGCCCAGCTCATAATCACCGTCATCTACATCGGTCTTGAGCCCGGCTCATAATCACCGATTCCTTATAATTCAAATTCTTAGGATCTAATTCATCCATTTCTCAACTAACATTTCCAACTAGTATTTTAATGCTAATTATTTATTTATTCCAATATAATTCCTTCTTCTTGCATAATTTGCTTTAATATCAAGTATCACTTTCATACCTTCATGGCTTCTCCTCATGGCATCAAAGTATACTACCCCAAATGATATTCATGGTTGGTACAACCATCATACACACATATTCATAACATCTAAACATACGCAATTTATTCATAAATTTGTGTATCATGCATACTATACTTTTAACCAATAGTAGTTCTATTTATGCATTATTAACCATCAACAATTCATGCACATCACATTTATATTCACTTAGGAAATCCCATGAAATTAACCCAAAGATTATAAGTATCATAGTCGGTCATCCTCACCTTAATTAAGCTTAAGCGCGTTCTACGTCTCTCGATTGGACTTTGACCAACTCCGGCGAACTTTGACCAACTCCGGCGAACTTTGACCAACTCCGGCGAACTTTGACCAACTCCGGCGAACTTTGACCGACTCCGACGAAACTCCGGCGAAGCTCAAAAATACTTTAAATCAAGTTCCTAACAAGGTTTTATCATCACAAAACCCATATCAACACAAATAACCTATTAAAGGTTATTTTCCGGCAAACCGGTCGATTTGGCTTCTAAGTCCGTTTTTGGACTTAGAATCACTTTCCAACCCATCATTCCACACTTAAATCATGTAGAACAATACTAAAGGTCTTATATATGATATATACCTTATATGCTAGAAGAAAAACAAAGGAAAAGTTATGATAAGGTCATTACCTTAATTTTCACACTTTTTCCTAGCTTTTTCCTCCTTAAACTTTCTTCTTGGACTCCCTTTAGCTTGAGTTCGGATTTGGGCTATGGAGATGAAGTTTGCAGAGCTCTTCTCTCCTTCTTGGTGTATTTGGGTCGAAATGATGAGTGTAAGGAGGTAGGGGTGGTTCCTTCTTGTCTCCTTTAGACAATGAGTGAAGGAAGGGGGCCTACTATATGTCAAAGGTGTCTCCCCCATCCTCTCAATTGTTGTTCAGCCAATTTGGCACTCATCCAGCCCTCAAGGGTTGACAATTTCGTGGGGTGGCCCCCACCCATGTGGGAGGTCATCCCAATTTGTCCCAAAGTGTGCAATTTGCCCCGAAAGTTGTATTTTTCGGACTGTTTTAAGTATATTTTATTTTATCGGGTCAAATAAAATATAACACTTGTTCCCAATTCTTAATGGACCTTAGAATCAATATGCATCCCTCAACTTTAATTTAGAAGTCTCCGAAATCCCTTTTCGGGCTGTTATCTGATAGATTGCCGATGCTGATAATTTGGCCCCGTTTGACCAACCGGTCAACCCTATGCCATTGTCATGGCTCAACTAGGATATCCACCACCATATACATATTGTCTAGTCCAAGATCAATATAATATGTGGCCCCGATAATATCGGGCGGTCCCCACTCCCGATGTGGGCCCCACGTGCATTTTACTATTCACGCGAAAAAATTTAATACAAATTCACAACTTCGTAAATTCACTAAATATTTTCATAGGGTCCAATAAATTATTAGCTTAAAGATGAATACATTTGGGGTCGGTGTTACAATGCTTGCATCATCTTTTTTTAATGTGACCCAAAATTTTGATTATTATAGTTTTGACCCACTTTTAGAACAACAAATTATGAAACAACAAATTTAAATTATTAAGTTGGTAGAAAACAAAAAAAATATACTACCTCCATTCTCTTTTAAATGCAACATTGGACTTTTTGCACTATTCATGTATTCTACTTTGACTCTATTTTTTTATTAATGTATTATAAATTAAATTCAAAAAAATATTGTTAAACTCCTCTCATTTTAAATTTTCAAAACCTAAACTTTTTATTTTTTTGCTAATAACGAATGAAAGATATTAATGGTCAAACTTGTGCGCTGACAAACGTGAAAAGTGGATCATAGCAATTAAAAAAGAGGGGAGGAAGTATAATAAATAAATTCACACAATATTATAAATAAAATTTCAAATCGAAACAACATAATAACAGAATACAAATGATATTTAAGAAAATAACATAATTAAAATTACAATTAATAACACCATTAAAATGAAAAAACAGTATTCAAATCAGACATAATAGTACTAATTTATAAATTAGTAGTCATTCAACCCGCTTCCAAATCCTCCAAGACCATCATCAAATAGATTCCCAAATCCAGCAGATGATACTCCTTGAGTTTTTTTTTGTAAAATTCCCGATTTTCTGCAATAATATACGCTCGCGTTTGTGGATCGTCAATATAATTCAAATCCATGAACATAATTTTATCTTCTCTCCTCTGTTCTTTGTATGCCATATTTTGTTGTTGGAGTTGCAATTGTTCCTGTCTATCTAACGATCATTTTTTCAACATCTCTATAAGTTGCTCATTGTCGCTCTTAACCGACTTAATCAAAACAGTAGTGTCTTCATCGTTTTTCTTCTTCAATTTGGCTTTTTTGACCCCTGTTGGTTGTTTTGAAAAATCTGACCCGGAATCAGTATCAACTTCTTTATTGAAAGAAGATGACAATCCAGGTGACGATGATATTGGAGATGGTGGATGAGAGTCTGATTGGGAAGAGTCGTAATTAAGTTGTCTTTTTTGTGGAGCAACATGTCTTGCACACATTATCTTTAAATTTTTCAAAATTTTTAATATCCCAGACATGGTCAAATTTAAAACCTTTAGAAAATTTTGTATCTTGCATAAATAAAACTTTAACACGATCCTGCAAATCATTAAAATAAAATTTGTATTGCATAAAGTAAATAAATTATTGAAAATTAAAATTATATTATACTTAAAATACCTTTTTTAGAAGAACCACTTGGATTCAATTTATATTAAATTATATTATACTTATAATATTATTGTAATACATTTAATTTTATGTGGTTTTACTTTGTATTTGTGAAATATTGATTATTGTATTTTAATGAGTGAAATGCGTGAAACATGCGTGAAATATTGATTATATATAGTAGTATTTTAGTTTGTATATGTGAAATAAAGTGTGAAATGCCAACAGCCCAACATACATATTAAATGGAGAAAATTGCTAGCAATAGGACTTAATCAAAGCAATTTTATAAAAATAGTACATACCTATGTTTCTTCCTTCCGTAAAAGATATGTAGTTCTAATTTTGAAAACTTGATTTTAAATTTCCAATTTTACCCTTACTGTCTATGTATTGCCTGCTATTGAGTTATTATTCGAAATTATTGTCTGTTTAGTGACTACTTAATGTCTATGTATTGTCTAGTGTTTTGCAAGTTTGATTTTGGATCTGATTTCTTCAAAAGTTTTGCAGAACACATGGGCGTCCACCGCCACAACGCATCATCGCCACCACCGTACCTCACTGATTCCGATACATCTCCAGATTTGGATCTCGATCGAATTTTAGGGCTTCAGAGCAATGTTTATTAGCGGAGAAAAGAGAAGAAGAAGAAGAAGAATGCGACGGAGGCGTGCAGTGTAGCGGCGCAGCAGCGATGCAAGGGACAGTAGCGGTGCACGTGAGGCGGTGGGCGGTGTGATGGCTGAATGTGGAGACGGATGCCGATTGCAGAGGCGGCGGCGAAGCGATGGCCGGATGCGGAGGCGGTGGCCGACTACGGTGGTCTGCGTTGGTGCGGCGTGGCGGCGGTGGCGACTGGCGCGGTTCGGCGGCGGCTAGTGGGGCGGCCTGATTTGGTGCTGCGGTGGCCCTTGGTTTCCTGGGTGCGTCAATTTGCAGATGACGAGGGGGTGACCTGGTTTGATGCGCAGGGGTTTAAAAACGTATAGCAAAATGAAGGACAATTTGGTCAAAACTCCTGTACTTAAGTTTTACTATCGGTCTTAATTTTGGAAAATAAGTATGATTAAATCCTATTCGTTGAAATCTCCTTATTAAATGAGGGGCTGATGTGATCTTACTTTGGAGGAGATGGCTTTCATGCTATAAAAGTAGTTGAATCCTACAGAGAATTGTCAAAGGTGTTGGGTGCTAAAACCGCGTGTGCTTGTAAGAAATCCGATACAGAACCTCTTGTTCTGCACGTAATTGGATTAGCGCCAGAATCTACCGTTCTTTGCACCTGTGAAATTGCCATGTTTCTGCTCATAGATTGCTCCAAATGCCGGACCACATTGCAGCTGCCTCCTGGTGCCCGATCGATCCGGTGCGCAATTTGCCAGGCAGTGACTCAAGTCGCTGATCCACGCGCCGTCCATCCTCCGCCAGCTACAAATCACTGGCCGGATTCGGTTCCCCCGTCCGCCACCTCTCCTTCTCCGTACAACCACGCCCCTCCTGGCCCCCCTCCCAACGTGCACGGCCGGAAGAAAGCCTTGATCGTCGGCATATCGTACAGGAACTCGAGACACGAGCTCAAGGGATGTCTCAACGATGCCAAGTGTATGCGATACCTTCTCATAAACAAGTTTCAGTTCCCAGAATCTTCTATTCTTATGCTCACAGGTATACGACATTTACTTATGCATATAGATAAGATTGTCGCACAGATGAAAATTAATAAGACTCCATGATTTGTACTCAGACTTTATTATTTCTAATATTGTGAGTGGTTAGAAAATGATGGGCTGAACATTGATTTTTTTTTCTACTCATCCAGCCCTCTAAGCATTTTCAGGAACAACTAGTATCTCTCATAAAGTCGTGTACTTCGTTTTTTCAATGCTTCTTGTGTTTGTCATCATCCGTTGTTATTGCGTTAGGCCATGCTTAAAGATCTTAAATTTCTCTCTGTTTTGTTGAATTATCTAAATGTAGAAGAGGAGACTGATCCCTATAGAATTCCAACCAAATCCAATATGCGACTAGCACTATTTTGGCTTATACAAGGATGTCAACCTGGGGATTCCTTGCTATTTCACTATTCTGGGCATGGATCAAGGCAAAGGAACTACAATGGTGATGAAGTTGATGGATACGATGAAACATTATGTCCTTTGGACTTTGAAACTCAGGGAATGATAGTCGATGATGAAATAAATGCATCAATCGTCAGGCCTCTTACTCCTGGGGTTAAGCTTCATGCAATAATTGATGCATGTCACAGTGGGACTGTCCTGGACTTGCCATTTCTGTGTAGAATGAACAGGTAAGTAAGACACTTATTATATTTCACTGTTATTATGGGCTATTGCTTTGGACTGTGTTTTTGTTATGTCATTGTTTTTTGCCTGGAAATAGACTCATTTGGTAATATAATCCCCTTTACTTTTTCTGGTCATTACTTATTCTTGTTTTAAAGTATAAACAGATCAAACCTGACAAAAAACATTCAGTCTACACCATACAAGAAAGATTCTGGCCAACCTAGACTAGATGTTATTATTCAGACAAGAAAATTATGTAAGAAGCAGACCAGAATAAGATTTTTAGGCCTAACTATACCTTAAAAGATCCAGATCACATTATATTTTGTTCAGGCAAAGAAAATAGGCCTTATATATAGGACACATGAGATTCCGCAAGGGGGTGGACTTTTATGATCGTGTATTTACTGGCTTACTGAGTTACTGCATTATCTACAGTTTTTTACTTTTGTTTTCCTTTTTCCATAGAAGGTTAGATGCTTCTGCTGAACATATGGTCTGCTGGTGTTTCTCTTTATTGTTTGGTGGGGCCATGGGGGGAGGGGGTACACATGAAACTGAATTGAGGGCTCTTATATTTCCTAAAGAAGTTACTTTAAAGTTCAGTTCTTGGTTCCTTACTCCTTAGCATCCGTGATTATCTCTTAGAAACCTTAATATGCTAGTTAAAGACATTCAAAATTCTCTTTGTTACAAGAAAACATCAATAGGACATTTAGTGGATATATAATGTTCCCGCACTGATTGAATTGTTTTATCGCATTATTAGTTACAATTTTAGTAGTTTTGTTAAATTCACCCCAGCTACTTGAATGTCTGAATGATGAGAGCTTAATATTTTCTGTACTACTGTCTTTCAAGGAAAGGGATACCTTTTAATAAGCACTCCTATTTTGGAGTAATTCTTTATAGTTCGCATGTGTCCAAGCCATTCTATTGATTTACCTTGGTCTACTGCCAATAGGAACGGTCAATATATGTGGGAGGACCATCGTCCCCGTTCAGGTGTGATGAAAGGAACAAGTGGAGGTGAAGCAATTTCTTTCAGTGGTTGTGATGATGACCAAACCTCTGCTGATACATCTGTAAGCTTTCTAATTGCTTACCTTACTAAAGGAAAACCTACATGTGAACTTGGTTCTTAGGGTCTATTTGAAATTCAGAAACGCTAATGAAAGAACATATAGAGGTAAATATAGGGGTAAATTTGGAAGGAATGAAAACAAAGAGGATTTATAAAAACTGTTTTGATCTCAATATATCAATTTTGGGGCATTTTTATTAATATATTCTACTAGAAAAACAAAATTTAAAAATCAAATTTGAATATCAAGAGAAAAATTAGTCCAACTTGAATTTCCTTTTTATTTGGTAACATGAAGCCATCATCATACATCATCATCATTACCCCAGTGCCGCAAAGGCTCCCACCTACGGCGGGGTAATGGGGTGGATGTACGCAGTCTTACCCCTGTACTAAAGCACAGAGAGACTGTTTCCGAATGACCCATAGTGAAAATCGCGTCGAAAAATACATGGACTAGGCTCACAATAAAGAAACGCAGACAGTTTAGTGAGCCATTTTGCTTTATTCCATCATATTCTCGAGCCAAAAAATAGTGAATCTTTGGCTCCATTGCAAATGATGGTAACATGAAGCCAAACATTAAAAAAACATTCTCCTTGGCAGTTTTATTTCCCTTTTCCTACCATTTTTAGGTCTAAACATAAGCTGAGTCTGAGATGGTAATAGATCAAAGATTTTTTTGTGGTGGCTAGGCTCTATCAAGAATAACTTCAACTGGTGCCATGACCTACTGCTTCATTCAAGCTATTGAGCGTGGGCATGGAGCAACTTATGGTAGCATATTGAATGCAATGAGGAAAGCAATCCGAGAAGCAGGTGGTGGCGGAGGAGGAGGTTCAGGAGGTGATCTAGGCGGTGGCATTGTCACATCTCTCCTCTCCATGCTTGTGACAGGCGGCAGTAGTATTGGTGGAGGATTTGGACAGGTAATGAAGTCTACAAGTACTCTCTTAAGAGTTAAGTCTTAAATATACATCTCTCTACAATATACCTACCCTTACTGAGATTACAAAATCTTGATTTAAACCGGGGGCATTCATAATTAACTTAATAACTTATACTAATATACTCCCTCCGTCCCATTGGACTTTGCCAACTTTCCCTTTTTAGTTATCCTAAAAGTTTTACTACTTTCCTATTAAAGTAACTTTTTCGTAGTTCTGCTCATTTTTCTCCTCTGCACAAACTTCAACCACACAATTTTCACTATTCTTATTTCCCACCTAATTCAAAGAGTGCAAAGTCCATTGGGATGGAGGTAGTACTATGTATGAAAAACAAGTCATATTGTCTACTCTTTCGGTGGTTTCTTGGTATGCGGTTTGGTGGATGGGAACATAATTATTGGGTGAAATGATTTCATCAGTTGGTATACGTTTGGAATAGTGAAGTAATAATCTGTATATACCAAAATGTCTGGACATGCATAAAAATACCATAACCAGAAGAAGAAAAATCATTTTCGTACAAGCAATCTCCCTTTTCTTCCCAAGCTGCCTGGTGAAGATGTTCAATGAAGGGCTAAGCCCCTGTAGGGGTGGTTTTTAGTTTTCAATTTATTCATACAGCATATTTATTCGTCTTTTAATCATGAAAAACACAAAAACTAAAACTAATAACCACTCCGAATGGGGCCAGAGAGTAGGGATTGAACTATTTCAAAGTCAATTAAAATGGTCAGTCAAACTGCTGAACTGCCGTCATCTTGTGATGATGAGTGAAAGAATGTGCTCACAAGCTAACTCCTCGTCCTTCATTCTTTTGTATTATCTTTATTTATCTGAAATTTGTTGTGTCATACACTTGATTAACAGGAACCGCAGTTGACTGCATGCCGGACCTTCGATGTCTATTTAGAGCCTTTCTCCTTGTGAAACCAAACCCTTCTTTACCATATCACATTATTACCCTATTCACTGTGGGCACCCGACAGGGTGTTGGTGTTGTGAGCTTTCTCACTTATAGCTCACTTATGCAATGTAGATATTGCCTGTTTTGGAAATCATGTGCTAAATTTGTTACTTTGACTAAATTTGTTGTTGATAAAATGTGCTTTATTAGTAAATTCGTTCTTCTCATTTCGACTAAATGTGTTGATTAAAAAAATGCAAATGCTACATGCCCCCTAAGGTACCGTTGACAATACAAGTTGTGCTTAGTAAATTCGTTCTTCTATTATTGGATTTGAATGGTATTGTAGCATTTACCAAAAAATGCAAGTGCACATTTTTTGGTCTGGTCTAACTAGTCTAGTATGGTCATATGTGTTTACGTCTAATGTAGTTTAATCTTAATTGGTCCGGTCTAGTAGATTTCCGGTCCATATGTATGTCCATATGTATTTTATAACCATCGATATGTAGTTTGATCTTGTTTAAGAGTGAAACCCGTTCAAATAAAATAAAAACATCTTAAAAGAAAACATAAACCATATTTTGGTTTGTGAGGAGGGCACAAAAAGCTGGACAACTCATGTGCTAAATTAAGTTTTAATTCTCTTTACTCATAAAAAGCGGGCATTTGATCCATCATCCATATGACCTTGAGGTGGCGTGATTAAGTTCTTTAAAGGGTAATTCTATTGACGGCCTCAAAATCACTATATGCAACCACTAAATTAAATATTAATTAATTAAATTAACTCAAATGTGTATATGTATACCCTTATTATAACAACACAACCATTGTCATATACATTGTCGTTAAATCCTTCGCCCAAATTCCATGAGGTAAGCATGATGATGAATTCAATTTTAAAGCTTCATTCGACCTGATCAATGAAGTTATTACACACTCTGCATAAAAGAGTTCAATGATTTGTTTGTTGTACAATTATCACGTACAAACAAGACCTTCTCACTCAAAGTTCACTAGTGGGAGCCAGATCCCATCTTTAAATTGGATTTGGGGATAAACAATTGTTCCAAATCCGAATAATATACCTTCCAAGAATCAATTTGAAGGGGCCAAACAGCAAGACCTAGCATTAAAAGAGTAGCAAACGGAACTAGCATTAAAAAATTTCTCTCTATTATTTCCTTCAATCTCAGTCTTCCTCAAAATTGCAGCAGTATTTCAATAGCCCTTGTATTTTGGGAAAGCTTGATAAATAGAGGTTTCCACCTCCATAATTATAGTATAAGAAATTCACCCGTTAGTGCGGCCGCAGAGCCGGTCCTGGGGCATGGGCAACGGCGGGGCATGTGCTCAGGGTCCATTCTTCGCTAGGGCTCATAAATTTCCCAGTTATATATATATACATATTTATTTTAATTATATATCTATAAAAATTTAAAACAAATCACTTATAATTTTCTTATACTTTCAATTCATTATTCCAAAACATCTACAAGCTACAAGTTTAAAATTTTGAAATTAAACATCCACACTAGAATTCCTTCGAAACAAACTTCTCCATTTCTTTTGATTCATTAAAAGTTAGCGTATAAATGTTAATCATTTTATATACTTCTCTCATGTAAACTCATGATTCATTGATAATATTTTGCTAACTTTCTTTGATTGAAATGAAAGAATTAAAAAATGTGATTTGAAATATGAAAATTTTACTTCATATAAGACATAACTTTCACATGTTTTCCTAATTCAAAATTATTTATGGCAAATACAAATTGTACTACTTTTCCATTAGGCTGATTTAGTTACATAGTATTCTCGGATGTCACTAACCAAATATTTAACTATAATATTTCTAACCGTTTCATTATTAATTTCTTTGAGGTGTTATACTCATATTTATACAATAAAACTGCTCAATTTTACCTATAGTTTTTTTAATAAAAAATATAAACACTCACACATTATCCCTAAAGCCTACTCTATCTATAATGTCCCGGGTCCATAAAATGTCAGGACCGGGCCTGAGTGAGGGCGAAGTAATATAGTCCAAAATATATTGAAATGTACTTCTTGTCAAATAAAGATATTGTCAGTTGCTACCCGCACGGGTAGCTCAGTTGGTCGAGTGGTGGGAGATTTGGATCAATGGACCAAGTTTCGAATCCCCGCAGCGACCGGGTGGAGGTCACAGAACCTGAAATAAGGTTGGGGTAATTTACCGAAATACGGGAAAAAGGGGTTGGGGTTGCCAAAATACGGGGATTTTTCTAGGTTTTACCAAAAAACGGGAGTCGGAACTGGGTGTTCCGACTAGAGGTTGGGTTTCCAAAAAAAAATGGACTCTCCCCTCATGTCGGATTAGTGACTTCCGACAAGGAGGTTTTTTTATTTTTTTTATTTTTTGCCGAATTCTTAAGGTTTTGATTTTGAGTTTTAAAAACTAAAAATTTTAAATTGGGCTAAACCTCTACTCGGAAGTGTGGAATCCGACCAGATTTCAAAAAAAAAAAATCCACTTCAGGTTATATAAAATTCAGAAAACATAATTATTTATTTTTATATTTTTTAATAGTTGCTACAAATTGCCAATTTCTTTAATAATTCCGAAACAATTTTATTTAAATTATTCCAATCATCATGATTCAACTTTTACTTTATTTTATTTATAATATATATTTTACATATAATTTTTACATGAATCAGCAAAATCAATCAATCCAACCACTTCAACCAGTAACTTCATAAATGTTAGCAGAATCGGCCAATTACACCCGATTTGGGTATTATCAAAGAGGGTTTCCAAATAAAAAACTTCGTATGGAAGGGTGCATTCCAAAATGCCTTATTTAGTTTTTTTATTGCCCGGCCGCAATAAAATACTCTTCTCACAGTGGTGTGTATAAGTTGTGCATAAAATAATCACGTGTATTTAGGTCTAAAAGTAGAGATGAATTTTATCAATCCAGGTTCTGAAAGATAGATGAAAGTTTAATATTAACATTTGTGATTCACATTTTTAGACCCGGATCATAAAACCTCAATTCAACTCAGTAAGGATACAATCTTCTGAAATGCAATTAGCCTATATCATGAACACGAGTTGTAAAATTGACAATGATTTACTTAATATATCGATGAAATTTTAATATTCATACTTGTGATTCACATTTTTTAGACCCGGATCATAAAACCTCCAATTCGACCTAGTAAGGACACAATCATTCGAATTTTATGCAATCAGCCTATATCATGAACACGAGTAGTGAAATTGACCACGAGTTACTTAATATATAGATGAAGGTTTAATATTAACACTTGTGATTCACATTTTTTAGACCTGAATCATAAAAATCCCAATTCGATTCAATAAGGATACAATCTTCTGAAATGCAATTAGCCTATATCATGAACACGAGTTGTAAAATTGACAATGATTTACTTAATATATCGATGAAATTTTAATATTCATACTTGTGATTCACATTTTTTAGACCTGAGTCATAAAACCTCCAATTCCCCTTAATATTAACACTTGTGATTCACATTTTTTAGACGAAATCAGCCAATAGATGAAATACAAATTTGATTTTGTTTAGAATGCAATGTTTAGATGAAACCACCACCACGACCACCACCACGTACCACCACCACCACCATGACCACCACCACTACCACCACGACTACCACCACCACCACCACGACCAACACCACCATGATCACCACCACGACAATCACCTCCACCACGACCACCACCACTACGTACCACCACCACCACATGGTGGAGGGGACATATCAGGGCCGAGCACCCAACCTACCATTGGTTTTCCCACATTATTATCAGTACTCTACACAGTCAGATGCATTTTTTACCACATTTATGGATTCGTCATTTTACCATGAAGACACAACGGTGATTTAGAACACTGGCGGCGGGGACATATCAGGGCCGAGCACCCAACCTACTGTTAATACAACACATTTATTGTATGTACATATTTATAAATAAATTACATTGAAAACCACATTTGTTTTGTTCACTTTCATTGAAATTACATAAATTACATTTGAGGAAGCGGTCCAGCCCAGCTGGTCGCCGACTCACTCTCCCTTACGGGAGGTCTCGGGTTCGAAACTCAATGGAGTGAGTTTCAGCCTAGTTTACTCTAGGCTCCCCCAGCCCCCCTCCCCCAGACGCCCCCTGGAGTAAAAAAAAATAAAAAATAAAAAAAAATACATAAATTGCATTTTAAACAAAATCAAATTTGTATTTCATTTTATGAATTTAATTCACAATACGGATGGATTAATAAATAAAATAAAGTAACCAATATTTTGATATTAAAAAAATCAAACTCTATATTTTCCATTTTAAATTTCAAAAATACAAATAAACAAATCAATAAATTTAGAAGTACATAACTCCACCTTATTTAAAATACAAATAATGTTTTGTTATTATGGAAAAATCAGATGCATGTTTTGTTATTATGGAAAAATCAGATGCATGTTTTGTTATTAGTTTTAATTAAGTAATAAAAAAACTTCCTGTCGGATTTGTGAAATCCGACCATAGGATGAACCCAAAGTTTTGGTATTCTCCTAGTGGAATTTTTTACCACTAATATAATTTTAAAAAAAAAATACCCAAATGTTTGGTTTACCGATTCCGATAGGGGTATATAATTTTTTAAAAAAACAGGTTTCCCCTGGTCGGATTTGCCAATTCCGACAGGAGGAATCCACGAAATATAACCTAGTCGGAACACCCAATTCCGACTCCCGTATTTTGGTAACCTAATTGCACTTCCCGTATTTTGGCGTGTCAGACCAAAAAGTCCCGCATTTTGGTAATTTCCTCATAAGGTTGGACCTCTGGTGCGCAAGGATGTATGAGCCTACTGTTATTCTGCTGACTGAGTCACTGTGACTAACGTCTTCACTATCCTGTCGGGTCGGGGTGAGGGCTCCTAGGGTGGGAGATTCCACCTTTTTTGAATCAAAAGATATTGTCAGCTGCTAAGAGATAGTTCAATTATAAAAATTGATAACAAAATTGTTATAGGAAAAGTCACTAGTTAGTCACTTAGTTGACTACTTCTTTCTGGTACTAGGAAGTCAGGAAGATAAGTTAGTTCGTATATGCATCGGTAGACGGTGCTGCCTTTAAAATCAATGCCCAACTTAGTTTCAAACTTGTGGTTGCGCCCCTTTTGAGATAATGTCATGGGTTTATTTTTTATTAAAGTGTTTCATATCTTTGAATTTCGTTATTACAAGAGGGTCACGTCATTAAAAACGCTCGAGAATGACGGTTAATAGTAACTTCGATTTTCAAAAGTGTCCGGAAAATTAAAAGAAAAACACTGAAAGATGTGTCTCGTCAAGATGACCTTCAAACCACATTTGCTTTTGGACTTTGCGGATCCGTTTGATTGTTTTTTAAAAATGATTTCACTAATATCACTTTTCCGGTGGACTTTCTTGTGACAAAGGTGGCTGGAAACAAAAAAAGAAAGATGGTCTAGCGGTCGTCTTGTTGAGCCACACATTCCGATATTTTTCTTTTGATTTTTCGAGCACTTTCAAAAACCGGAGTTACGGAGTACTATATATTAACTGATAGAGTATATATCTAGAGAGAAGTGAGAGATAGAGAGAGAAGTGCAATATATGCTTCAATAGAATGATTTTGTAACCCCATAACTACCTCCAGAGGAAGTATTTATA